AGCAGAATACATCTAGCAATACTATCCTTAGGATGATATATTTCAAGAGGGACCTGTATTCCTGAATGATGGGTGTCCCGTGGGAAGTTGAAGTTTTCAGGAAATTTAATGAAAAGAGTCCTTCATTACCTAATCAAAACCTCTTTTTTCCACTAATAGAGCTCCTTTAATGAGAGTCTTTTTGTGAATGAATATATAAAATTTGATTGATTTTCCTCAAAGACTGGGGACCTTATACATGAAATGCTCAAAATAAAAACAACTCTTTTCTACTTCACTGAAAAATGCTTTTGCAAATGGCACAATATTTTAGGACACTACAAAAGAATCCACTAAAATTGTAGTTCATGGCCTGATATACTACCACTTTTGCTAGCCTACAAAAGTATCAGCATACAAGCATCCTCTTTCTTGGTAAACAGGGACCCATACTAACTCTCCCATCCAGCTGTGCCATGCATGCAAAATAGCTTTACTAAGGCTTCCTCAGGGTGAGTATTCTTCTCCACTAGCTCAAATCCAGCCAGTCCCCACCCCCCACCCTTTTATTTTTCTTTCAATCCTGCTAAAAATGAGAGAAGAGCTAGGTGACTGTAGGAGCTTAAATGAGAATTCAGCTATCAAACATCTTTTTAAAGTGGGTCTCAATTCAGAGAAGGAAAAGAATGGAATGTAAAAGGGAACCTCAAAGGAGGAAGAGAGCAGGTGTCAAAGATGGTATGTGCTTGACGAAAGCAGACTGGGGAGTGCTTTAGAAAAGAGAGCGACAGAATCTTTTCCCACCCTTTCTTTCTCCTCAGTTTCATATCACATTAAATTAGGATCACACATACTTTTGTCTTTTCTTGCTTGTAGAGGTGCACATGACATCTCCAGAAGCTTGATATATAATTCTGACAGTTTGAAAATCACAGCAGAATCGTCCATTTCTTATTTATTTGCTGAGCACACTTTGCATGCCATGTAAGTAACAATTTTACTCTTTTCCCATACTTCATTTCTGGCAAGGTTTCAGCAGCTGCTCTCTCACAGTCTGATAGAGTTAGAGATATATGTTTTAAATTGTCTGACAGTTGCAATTTCAAGCTGCTTTAATTTAATACATAAGTTTGGTTTCTAGCAGTTCTTAAGAGAATGGCTTCAGAGATCATGCTAGAATTAAAATGGGTAAATTCAAAATACTTATCAAAACTGTGATTTTAAGATATAATCGTTCAACCTGCATGACTACACACACATGCCTTATACTAGAGGGCTCCCACCTGACTATTTAAGTCACCTATACCTAACCTTGTTGGTTAAAGAGGTACTAACCTTACAGTCATTACTGATCTATTTAGTAGAGTTGGCACCCCATACAGAAAAAACCTGGACATATAGATTATTATAAAACATTACTGCCCATTTTAAAGAAAAGAGAAAGAGAGGAGGAGTGAGAAAAAACTCTAGATATACAAGAAACAAATAAATATAAGACAGAGACAAATATTAGTAGGAAGGGACTAAATGAGATGAAAAAAGAAAAATATCACCAATGCACAAATGTTAAATGCACTGTTAATTTCTTAATGTTGGAAGAAAAATGTCTCTAACAGAATAAATTGCTGAAAGAAAGGGTAAAGAGTCAACTGCCCATTCTTTAGGTAGGGAAATTTCATCTTTTAGAACCTGAACCTTTTCAAAATTTTGTAACCACTGTTTCCTGTGGTCTCACATCTATGGCAGAGGTCTTTCTAGCACATTGCACTGAAAATCAAAGAAAAAGAGTTCAAATCTAGGGCCATGCAATTCTATTGATGGTCCATATCTCTATTCACGCAACTCTCTAAATCTTCCAACCAGAAGCCAATTCTACCCAGTTGAGTACAACACAAAGCCTAAAAAAAGGTATCTTTGTCCCTGTTCATTCTCAGTAGCTTTTCACATTTTAAAAAGTGCATATGAATAAGTGCACATGCATGAGTTGCACGTGGTCAAATCAAAGATTTATACAACTCCCTATTAGCAGCGACTCCCATTTGTATCAGTGTATCAGGTATTTCACACCTGCAACTGCAAAGTATGCAAAATATGCACATATTTAAAGATTTAGGCCTGAAATTAGAACCAAATGTTTTGTCACATATGTCATGTTCTGTCAAATATAAGGACAGATAGAAAAGAACACATTTAAACAGTTTTGTTTTAAAAAAAATTAAATAGTGATTTGCTATAGAGTTCTGCTCCTTTAAGAACACTTTCCCTTTTACAGTTTGGAAGTACTGAACAAAGCAGAAATTAACTAAGCCAAAATCAGTACTTTACCTTTGAAAAGAACAACTGCTTGTAGTTTAAAAAGGAAAAAAATAGTACAGTTTGACTAAGTGTTCTATCTCCTAAGAGAATCAAGGCTATCACGTTTTATTTATTAGTGTCAAACTCTGTGCCATGAAATTATTTTACAACGAAATTAAATACCTGATTAATCACAAAAGGTATGGGATTTACGCTAAACTAGTAAAATAAATTACATGATTAAAGAGAATGATTTCTAATATAAATTAATCCTAACAAGCAAGTCTTCTTTCTTGCTGCATTAATGCCCTTTTTGCTAAATAATTAAAAACATCACTTCTCAACATCCATTATTAATTTAAATGGAGCAGTTTTACTGCAGAAGAATAAGTACAATTTTGAAGATCCAAGGAAACAGCTTTTGTTTGTGTTTGTTATTAACATAATTTGTAATTTATTGTCATTTTTGCTATATTTTTGGTCAAAAATAAGTTACACAATAAGACTACCAAGTCTGTCTGCACAATCTGCACCCATCTGACACCTCTAGATTTTGAACATTTTTTTCCCCAAAAGTTTTCTGGTGTAACCATTTCAAACAAATGAAAATTCTTCCAAACTTCTTCCAAAAAATAACAAAGGTCTAAGATCATGATTAACCAAAGAACTCAGTAAGGGAGAGGCATAAGTCTAGAGATGAATACTTAAAATTCAGATTAAAGGTTATGTCCAGGAAAGATGTACACATTTGTATAAATGTGTAATTGCAACATACTAACTCTGCATTTGCACCTACAAGAGAATGTTTGTATATGCAATTAGTTGTCTAGGATGAATATCTGTATATTTTTTGCAAGTGTATTTCAGAATATAAATTTTGAGGTTCTGACTCACTGGACACATCTACACAACATGCTGACTGTGCAGTAGCTTGTTACTGTGATGCAGTAGCATTGCATGGGACGAAGTGTGATGCAATGCTACTGTGTGGTAGTAATCATCTACTATGCAGTCAGCATCACCTAAAAGCCATTTGGCAACGCTACTGTGCAGTAACTCCAATTACTGCGCAATCATTAAGTACTTGTATACACAAGTACTAAATGACTACGTAGTAATAACTACGCAGTCAGTGCCTTGTGTAGATGCAGTAAGTAGTTACTCCTACCCTTAATCCCCCCTCCAAAACACCTTCAAAGAACTATTAAAAATCTATACTTGCCAGTTAACTCATCAACAACAGCAAACGTGCATCTGTCCAAGTTTTTTTTTCCTAAATTACCCGCTTCTACCTGCCCCCATTCCCAGAATCTCTCCCATCCTTAGTTTTCCCTCAGATCAAACATATTTCCTACTCATGAACGTCGCATGCCTCCTGAGGCTGGGGGGACACAGTGACCACCTGCAGGTGGCAGTGGTGTTGGCAGCAGGAGCATGTTGCCGGCGTGCAGGGAGCTCCCGCAGGTGGCTGCAGCAGTGTCAGCGGTGAGGGAGGCAGGGGTGGCAAGCGCTGACCAGCAATCTCACAGGGTGCACGTGCACCTGTGTGCACCCCCTATGCATTGCCAATGTTCCTACTTATCTTCTCTGAACAAATAAAGTCACAATTGCTATGTGACTCTGGGTTCTATGTTAAAGGCCCCATGCACCTTACCCAATTTTTTTTAACACTGGTTTCTATTGGAGAGAACAATGAAGATCAAAAATTAAAGCAAGCAGGCTTAGTGCGAGGGAGGGACTGGCTTCTCCCAGAAGTCCCAGTTATCTTTGGAGTCCAATTTTGCAAGGCTCAAGTGGATGAACATATATGAAGACAAAGTCCCCGTACTGAAAAGCACCAAATGTCAGCAGGTACTTCAATGGAATGAGGAAAGGATAAAAGCTACTAGCATTTTATGTACATTTATGTATGTTTTAATAAATGCATCACTTAAAGACAATTCTAATTATATAAAAATACCAAAAGATATCATAGCTGTCCAAAGCACCATTAACTCTGATTTCTTATGGATATCACAGTAGCCATAACCTTGAGGAAAGAAATTAAGGTGGAGAAGGTAGTGGTCTATTATCAGTCCCAGTTTCTTAAAATTTTCTTTTGAACATCCTCGTTTGTAAACCTCACTTATGATCCAATATGAATATTTTTGTTAAATAAAGACAATACTTTCTTCAAAAATTCCTGTTTTGTTCATTAAAAAGGATGTATTCAGCCTGGAGTTTCTGTCAAGTGCTCCTAAAGTTTTTCTTGATCAACAGCTCATTACTGAAATTATACTCGCGAATATATAGCATTTGAAATAATTTCAGTCAGAGATACATTAACTGCATTATAATAAATATCATAACATAGACTGTAACTTAAAAATTACTTACAGAAGAAAAGTTCATTTATATCAAAGAAATATATATGATCAGATAATAATTAAAATTCTGTTGTAAGTGCTTCTCCTTCAGCCAGGCTTGGGTTGAAACAGTCTGAAACAGTTTTAATAGTAGCAACAAACCACAGGTAAGATAGAAAATTAAATATTACAGAATTAAAATTCTGATTATTTTAATTAAAGAAATTGTACATTAAATAAATAAAAAAATTTCTAGAAAAGTTTTAAGTCGCAAGAGTGGTTCACTGTATTTACACAGTTGACCTGCTAAAGTGTGTGTGTGCAGCAAGCACATGTGCACTACAGAGTGAAGTTAGAAGGGCAATTAGGGACAGAACATACCTGTTACAGTTTTTGTTTTGACAGGGCTGCTGGCATACTCAGAGGCTTGATTTGACTGTTGTTTTGCCATAGGTGCACTTCCAACTGACACCTCATCCTCTTTTTTCCTCGTTACTGGCAAACCCAGAGGAACAGTTCCTACAGGCTGCTAGAAGGAGGGGAAAAAAAAGTATGTAGTAACTAATTCAGAGAAAATTAGGATATGTAATAAAACATGACACCACCATAGAAGCTGCTTCATTAACTGTTGATTTCCCCTAGGAAAAATCTTGAATTAGTAATTAGAGCATATATATTGTGAAAGCAAATTTACATATTGAATACCTTCAGTAAGTATCAAATAGATTGTAATTTTTAAGTGTTTTTCTACCCAGATCTGTATATACAGCTCTTGATATTCCTACTAATCTATATACTCAAGTGCTCAATCTCTGACCTGCAGGCCAGAGCTGGCCCACAGCCCCATGCCATCCGGCCCATGGGGCTCCCCATGACTTCAGAGAACAGTGACACTGCACCCATACTGCCAAATCTCTGGACCCACTGGGAACCTAGGGCCCTGTGTGTTGGATCCAGTGACTGATCTCAGCCTGCAGGCCTGAGTGGGGGCAGTACTGCACCTGCAGGACACAATCCCAGTACAGGGGGGTGCAAAAGAGGGCAATGTTAGGCAACCTGGGAGCCAATCCTGGCAAGCAGGGACAGGATGTGGTCATGCTGGGCCCTAAGACCCAATCTCAGAGAGGGCAGGAGGAGGCCATTCCAGGGCCCTGGGAACCAATCCTGGAGAGGTTGGTGCTAGGCCCCTGGGACCCCAATCCTGGCACACAGGCAGTGGGAGTGGGTGATGCCAGGCCAGCAGAACCTAATTCTGGTGCTCTGGGGGCAGCAGCAGCCCCCTGGGATCCACTCCTGGTACACAGGGCAGGGAGGGGAGTGGTACCCAGCCCCAAGGCCAGATCTGGCCCACAGATAGCCTGTGGGGCGAAAAGGCTGAGAGTCACTGCTACATATCGTTTAAAATTCTTTTTATTAAGTGGGCAAGGAATGCTCAAAATTGAATCTAACCAATTACCAAAGGATATCTGTGAAATCTTATTTCAGGGTTTCACAGACATTAGGGCTGGAAGGGACCTCAGAAGATCATCGAGTCCAGCCCCCTGCCCCAGGGGCAGGAACTCAGCTGGGGTCACAGGATCCCAGCAAGATAAACATCCAATTTTTTCTTGAAGGCATTAAGAGTAAGTGCCTGAACCACCTCCGATGGCAGGCTATTCCAGACCTTGGGGGTTCGGACAGTAAAGAAATTCTTCCTAATGTCCAGCCTGAAATGGTCTTGCAGAAGTTCATAACCATTCGACCTTGTCATCCCTTGGGGTGCTCTGGTGAACAAACATTCCCCTAGATACTGGTGAACACCTTGATAAACTTATAGGAGGCCATCAGATTGCCCCTGAGCCTGCACTTTTCCAGGATGAAGAGTCCCATAGCTCTCAGCCTGTTGTCATTTTTTCCTGACCTCTCATCATGCACGTGGCTCTCCTCTGGACTCTTTCAAGCTTCTCCACATCCTTTTTGAGTTGTGGAGCCGAAAACAGGACACAGTACTTCAGCTGCAGCCTCACCAAGACCAAGTACAAGGGGAGAATGACGTCTTGCGATTTACCTGAGAAGCATCTATGGATGCAAGACAGCGTTTTGCTCGCTTTACTAGCCACAGCATCATATTGAGGGCTCATGTTCACCTTGTGGTCAATCATGACCCCCAAATCCCTTTCATCCGTAGTGCTAGCCAGCTTTTTCCTAGGTGTCAGTTGTCAGCTGTTCTCTCTCATTTAGCAGGGGTCCAATGTTGCCCTTGCTTTTCCTCCAGCTCCCCACATATCTAGAAAGGACTTTTTATTATCCTTGATACTTGTAGCTAGTTGGAGCTCAGTCTCAGCCTTGGTTTTTCTTGTTCGTTCCCTGCAGGTCTGGACCAGTGCAGAGTATTCCTCCTTGGAGGTGGATCCACTCCTCCACCCTTTGTAGGTCTGTCTTTTTACACACAGGAGGTCCACTAGTTTCCTGCAGAGCCAAAGGGGCTGCTGTGCCCTTTTGCTGCCTTCTGCCTGAGATGGGATAGACTTTGCTTGAGCTTCCAGGATCTCTGTATTGCTGACCATCTTGCCAACTTTGCGGCAGATGGTGAAGGTGATCAGCTCGCGGTCACTGTCACCCAGCTTCCCATTGATTGCTAGGTCAATCAATTAGGTCTTCCCTGATTGCCAGTACCAGGTCGAGCAGCACTTTGCCTCTCGTTGGCCTGTAGACCTCTCGTGTCAGATAAAGGTCATCCACACGAGAGGAAGCTTTGTGACCGCTCGGATTTAGCTGAACGCTCTTCCCATGAGATGTCTGGGTAGTTGAAGTCTCCCATGACAACCATGGACCTGCAGAATGTGGCTTCAGCCAATTCCCTGGTGAACTCCTGGTCAAGCTTTTGACTTTGGGTGGGAGGTCTGTAGTAGACTCCCACCATCACGTCCCCTGTGCCGTATTCCCCACGGATTTTAACCCAGAGGGTCTCCAGCCATCCACCCTGGTTGCCAATGTCAGCTAGCAGGGGTGCATAGCTCTCCTTGACATAAAGAGCTGAGGTTAACTGAGTTTTCCAGGAACAAAAAGATTTTATCAAGAATCATGAATTCTAACGTATCTTAAATAATAATGAATTGTACAGCACTTTACATCTGCAAAATAATCCACAAGTCAACAAAAACACAAAATGAGATGAAATAACCATTGTTATTATTTATACGAGGCTATATGTGCACTTAGTGCTTTACAGAAAAGAACTTTAGTTCAGGTGCCCCCGCTGCCATTTTTAAGAGCGTAGATGTTGATAGAGAAGATGCTGTGGCACTTTGCTCAGAGTGGTTCTCGGAGTTGCTGTATTAAAGTGCTGCCCCTCCACCCACAGAGTACATGGGAAAGTGCCCACAATGTCTGGTGCACAGAAGCTGGTGCTTATGGATTACTGATGCAATGCTGATAACACTAGCTTTAGCAAAGAAGCTGGCATTTGTGAAATGATCTTCCCACTTGACATGAAGGATTTTCCAGAGGTATTGTTGATGATACCTCCCCAGGCTCTTGAGATGATGATAGGTCACCCATGTTTTACATCCATAAAGGAGAGTGGGGATAATGACTGCATTGTAGACCTGGATCTTGTCATCTTTCCAGAGAGCATAATCAATAAAGACATGCTGAACCTATTTATCAAAGAAAGTACTTCTGGTCCTGTGCTGGATCTCTCATCCATGTTTTCTTTGAGACAGATGGCTACCAAGATAGGGAAAGTGCTCAACTAACTTTAGGGTCTTTCCCTCTTTGGTAATTTGGGAAGAGGGGGTCATATTCATGGCCCAGAGCAGGCTGACCGAGCGCTTTCTCTTCTCAATGTTAAGAGAGAGGCTCAGAGTTTGGCAGGCTTCTGCAAAGAGATCAAGCAGAGTTTAGAGGTTTCCCTCAGTGTGCACAAGGATTATTAGGTAAACAGTAGGTACACCTGATATGACAATAGCTGCCAACATATGAGAGTCAGTAGGAGAAAACTACTATGTACTCTCACTGTTGATTTTACTGAAGATTATTATTTAAAGATGACAACAATTTCTCAGAAGATCAGGCAGGAAGATTACATGCTTTTTAATCAATTATTTTATTGTTTAAATTTGTTGGGATTGAAGTGATAATGTAATTCATATACTTGGGAAGTGAGAAACCTCACACGTTGCAGAAGAAATCATTGTGGGGAAACAGTTCGTGTGAGGCAGAGCAATATGCTTGTAAATCTTCCCCAATGGAAAACAGATCACTACATTAACCAGCGCACAAAAAAAAAAATCATCCAAGGAGAGAGACTGCAAAATACCTTTAACAGAGCTCAGAAAGTCCACTAGGAAAATAAAATTAGTGCAAGAAAAACAAACTGTCCATCAGAAAAGTCAACATCTAAC